AATCAGCCCACAGCATTACAATTTAATTTAATTTAATTTAATTTAATTTAATTTAATTTAATGCTTCCTATTCCCCCTTAGGTTCTGAGGCTCCCTAGCCCCCCTCCAGCTCCTTTTGGACCTGGAGGAGCTTTTAGGAGCCTAGGGATGGGGGTGGGGAGCCTCAAATACCAGCAAATTATTGCTGAATCATCACCACCAGGATCAGAATTCGCAGCAACAATCTGGCTTCCCCAGGTCAAAAGGGATCCCCAGAGAGTTTCAGAACCTGGGAAAGTGGGATAAGAAGCTTTATATTAAATTAAATAATAAGATTGCAGGGTGATGCCGTCATCACAATTTACGTCCATGTGGTTTTTCAACAGCGTTTCAGCCATTAAATTTGAAAAGTTTTAGAAATATATCGTTGTCTAGTCGTTTAGTCGTGTCCGACTCTTCGTGACCCCATGGACCAGAGCACGACAGGCCCTCCTATCTTCCACTACCTCCCGAAGTTCTGTCAAATTCATGTTGGTTGCTTCGAAGACACTGTCCAACCATCTCATCCTCTGTCATCCCCTTCTCCTCTTGCCATCACACTTTCCTAACATCAAGGTCTTTTCCAATGAGTCTTCTCATGAGATGGCAAAAGTACTGGAGCCTCAGCTTCAGGATCTGTCCTTCCAGTGAGCAATCATTAAAAAGTTGGTTGGAAAGCTCGGAGTTGGTTACTTGGCTGTAGAGCCAGAGATTAGGAGTTTGATCCCCTGATATGCCTCCCAGGAGAAGGGACGAGTGTGTCTCATTGGGCAGGCCATGTGGTCCGAGAATGCTGCCGGAAGAAGGGAATAGGAAGCCACTTCTGAGTACCTTAAAGCTAGAAAATCCTGGAAATAACTTGAAAGCATGAACTTCATATGGTCTTCATATGTCAGAAGTGACTTGACTGCACATAACAATAACTCAAAAGTACTAAATAAAATCTTTTCAAACCAGTTTAAAAACACATTTAAAAGATTAAAAAGACAAGATCCCCCATTAAAAGCATTTTTGTAACCACATGCTGACAAGCACCAGTTATAGTTAAATAGTAGTGAGACAATATCTATGCGTGAATCTAACTACAGTATTAAAATAGTTATTCGTTTCAGAATTCTGTAAACTTGAAGCAGCAAACATAATTAATAAAATGCTTTTTAATTATATTCGTTTATTCTGTCTTTTGATCCTAGTGCTCTGTTTTGTTTTCATTATGCAGGAGCCCTTACCAAAGTGAAGGAAAGTAAGCGGCATGTAGAAGAAGGGAAAATGGAGGTTCAGAAGGCTGATGGCATTCAGGATCGTTGTAACATTATTTCTTTTGCCACCCTGGCAGAAATTCATCATTTCCACAAAATTCGAGTCAGGGACTTCAAATCACAGATGCAGCATTTCTTGCAACAGCAAATACTTTTTTTCCAAAAAGTGACACAAAAGTTAGAAGAAGCTCTTCACAAGTACGACAATGTTTAATATTGCTTAATTCTTGAACTTCAAATGGTGAATATTTCTTGGCTTGCAAATGGAGTAAGTAACAGAAAAGAAACACCACCCTCAAATACTGTTGGAACTTCTTGGGGTGCTTTACAAGGATGATTTTATAATTTGTTCTGGATTGCAACACAACCTAAGCATTGCATAAGAAGGAAATAATTATATCTGTTTAGCAGAGCCTCTACTATACATTGTAACTAAGTTATACTCCAAATGCCTACACTACCATTGTAATGTTTTTGAAATAATGATTATACTATTTGCCTTACTGCTTTTTTGAAATATGGTGTTATAGTGCATATGCTGTAGACCTCAAAACCTTCTGGGTCTTTAAGGGAGCTGGCTAGGGAAAAGCCTGCTTCAGATGCCTTCTAAAAATTCACTTCGGTTTGAATTTTCTAAATTCAACCAGTTCTCTGTTTACAAATTTCTATTAGAGCAGCTGTACTATTTTGTGCCTTTAGACTTACAATTTTCATTATTATTTTTTCTAGTGAACCACATTTTTACGACTGATTGAATGAAGGATTGGCACTCTTAATAGGGCCTGATTTCAAACCTCATAGTGACTGAACATATAACTTGCACACTAGATATTAAGATAAATGTTGACTGAAAAAAGCCCTCCAGATTTAAAACCATTTTAGACTTTGTACTGATTATAGATACTATTTATTATTTGTACCAGGACTTTAAACACAGATACAATACAGTACTGCTGTGTTTCCTTTCTTAACATGGCACCATAAAACCTTTCAGTGTAACCCGTCTTTGAATAGAAACTTGGACCACTTACCTAATAAAAGAATACTGAAGAATATTAGTGAGCTAAAAGTAGAGGACCAATGACTCATGTATGTGCATTGTCTGTATTGTTTGCAAGTCTCTTGTGGTTGCTGATTTATTTTACTCTAAGCATGGCCCTGCCTTGCCACTTGATTTAAAACTTTTGCAAATCTCAACTTCTCAGTACCAATCAGTGAAATTGTAGACTGGACAGGAGGAAAATGTTAACACCTAATGTAATACTGATGGGCTGAAATCGTTCATATGTACTATGTTCCAGATGGAGTTTATTATTTACACCCTTATTCATTTATTTGTTTATTTAAATATTTTTAAAACAATGTAAATGAGTATTATACTTAGTGATTCCTCTTATTTAGGGGTATATTATGTGCAAATGAGGGACGCAGATATTCATTTATTTGTTTATTTAAATATTTTAAAGCAATGTAAATGAGTATCATACTTAGTGATTCCTCTTATTTAGGGGTGTGTTATGTGCAAATGAGGGACGCAGATGGCGCTGTGGGTTAAACTGCTGAGCCACTGGGCAGTTGATCGAAAGGTTGACAGTTTGAATCCGTGGGACGGGGTGAGCTCCTGTTGGTCAGCCTAGCAGCTCAAATGCATGCAGATGTGAGTAGATGAATAGGTACCACCTTGGTGGGAAGGTAATGGGGTCCCATGTCTAATCATGCTAACCATGGGACCATGGAAATTGTCTATGGACAAACACTGGCTCTTTGGCTTACAAACGGGGATGAGCACCGACCCCTAGAGTTAGACATGACTGGACTTAATTGTCAAGGGGAACCTTTATCTTTTCCTTTATGTGCAAATGTCTTATTAGGCTACACTGAAAGCTAAAGTACCAGGCAAAAAGGGATCCTAATTTTCCTTGCTTGCTGTTTTCTCCATTCAGATGACTCAACACATTTGACTTCCAACCTGTAGGATTTTAAAATGTAGATTCATCATTATGGTAAAGACTAGGAAAACAGTGTGGCCTTGGGTAACTTCCACAATCCCAGGTGCCCCCAGAAGAAGGGAATAGTAAAATACTTCTGAGTATTCACTACCTAGAAACCCCTGTAAAGGGTTGACATATCTCTACCTAGAAAACTCTGAAAAGGGTTGACATGAGTTAGAATTTACTTGATAATGCATGATTATTATTGTTGTTAGGAGAAACTACTCTGTTGAATTCTGCAGCTATTCTACTTCTGTGCATCTTGGAATGGGTTTTGATGCTCGCTGGTTTCCAGAAAAATCATCAAAAATTTTACCTCTTTACAGAGATGTAATAACACCTAAGTCTATAAAATATTCCACAAGGGCTAATTTTAGCAATGTGCTACGTACAATGAAATGCAGCAGCTTTGTTTGAGGGCAATGGCATCTTCCCACTCCAATTCCTGTGTGCTTTCTTGTTAACTCATAACCCTCATTGTGTGTCATTTTTGTTTGGTATAGTTTTCCATCTGCACTCCCTAAGAACCATGGTTCTCTTGTGAAAGAGAAATCTCTAGTCTCTTCAGTTCATTGTTTTTATGATATAAATATTTCTTTCCCAAGTTGAATCTAACATTGAGGACAAGAGGGACCTATCCTCTTCAAAATATATTAAATTCCTAAGCAACTGTAAATGGGTGGACACCGAATGAAAATATATGCTGATGTTAACATTGTCCAGTGAGGAAAGTGACCTTATCATAGTGTTGGATAATGAGTATGTTGATGGAGAAAGAGAGAATCAGTTTTGGAAAAGGTAAAATACAAGCTAGGGATTTTTGAGAAAGAACTTAAAAGTCAGACTACTAGTGTCATAATACCTCTATACACTTCTCTGTTGCAATCACACTTGGAGTATTGTGTGCAGCTTTGGTAACTGCACTGCAAAAACAGTTAATCTATCAATTTAACCCCTTTTAATATAATGGAACAGGATCTACACAAGTGTGCCACAAGTTCTGCTTTGGTATTTTTTTCCTTGTGTTTCTAGCCCATCATTATGTCAACCAGTTTTTTTAAAAAAAATCTCCCTTGGACAATTTCAGGAAGCCTCCTGTAATAAATACATAGCTCCTAACAGTGGATCACTGCCTTTAAAAAACATACTTCAAATGTTGTTTTTTTCTTTTGGGAATTAAATTACACTTTGGAGCAATCCTGCCTAGCCAAGATGACTAAGGTATGGCTCAGCTGACACTGCTGTGCTAAATCCTCCAAGCCTAGGGAATGTTGGAAATTACTTAGAACTGTGCTGACCATGGAGTAACTTTGTCCCAGCATAATGGCTATGAGTCTAGATCTGGCATTACTCACCTGCTATCCTGCTCTTCCCCTTTTCCCGACCACTTTTGGCTCTGGCCACCTGGTCTCAGCCAGCACAGCAGTTCTATCAGCATAGCCAGCACAAGGGAATTGTGTCACCACCAGGGCAGTTGTGCTGGCACCAGAACCTTTTGCCTATTCTAAACCCACTGTGCCCAGTACATTTGGTGCAGTTTGTACTGTCCAGTTTTGATTTTTTTCAGGAGGAGAAAGCTAATAATACAGTCTAAATGAAATCCTCAGAGTAAAAGTGTTCAAAGCAGGGCAATCAGTCAGATACTGCAGAAAAATTCTAGGTCTTGTGTCTTTTAACAGTTCAGTAACATGTGCTATAACTTTTGCACAGTGATACGATGATATGGAGCATTTTAAAAATGTGGTATAATTATGTGTGTAACACGTAACATGTGTTTACAGTGAGAACACATCCTTGTACAGGAAATTTAGGAACTTAAAAGTAGTTGCCCTGCAGCACTGGTCTCCTTGGCTGAAAGCTTGATAATAACCAAACAAGGAAATAAAAAGAAACTGTTCATAATTTGATAAAAGCAAATGTGCAGTAGGGCAAGACATAAGGTTGAGTTTACAGGAGTTGAGGACAAGACATTTTAGAGATTGCTCATTCACAGGATTGCCATAAGTTGGAAGTGACTTGACAGCACATAACAGCAACAACAGCAAAGTTGGGCAAATCGGCAAAGTTGGACAAAAGTTGGGTAAATCATGTGATTATTATCCTTTTGTTCATAATGGTAGAAAAGTGTTTTTCACCATATGCCTATGTTATATGCATATTTGTGGGAAGGAATTGTGGAATATTTAAAGCATATTTCCACTTACAAGATATGACAGAATATCTTGAAACAAATAGAATTGTCAATCAATCAATCTTTATTTGCAGCCTCCGACCCATTAAAAATAGAATTGTGTGGCATGTACATAAATACCCTAAGTAACAGTGGGTGTAGATCACAGGACCAAATGATTTGGAGGTTGAGGCTCATGCTGTGAATGCAATGCATATTTTGTTTTTAAAACATTTGCACAGGATTTTTAAAATCTTTCCATTGCTATAAATTTCTACCTTTCTCAGTAAAGTTGGTTCTTTAATGCTTCACTCAACCCTCCCTCAGCCTCTGGCTTCCATGTAGGATCCATCCCACACCGTTTTCACACTGCATCACCATTTTTCTGACCTGTCACTCCATGTAGAATACAGATGCTGAACATAGGTAGTAGCTTCCAAAAGGTTAGTTAGAGGCAGTAAAACCAACAAAGAATCTCTGTGACATGTTCCTTATAGCATGAGTCTTCACTGATCAGAATTTTAATCCAGCCCTGTTTTCCTACTCCTACTAGGTTATTGGTCAGTCTAATTTCTCCAGATAAGACTAGGAGTCTTCCTGTCCCTTCAAATGCTAGAACATTGGTGAGCAGATGTTGTTGGACTTCCACCCCCATCAGAACTAGCGAGTAAAGTTAATTATGAGAAAATGGGGACTGTAGTCTAGCAACATCTGGAAGACCACTGTTATTCCTCCCTGTGTTACATTTCAGTAGAATCACTATTTTACAGATCTGGCCAGTGGTCCTTTGCAGTGGAAAGATGGTACAAATCTTAAGTTTCTTCTCTAGATAAGTAAAAGTTTCTGCATATACCATTTTGGAGAAACAAAATTCCTGTCTTCACAGATTTGTAGCTTTTTGTGTTGCCCTTCAGCATTAGTGCTTCTATGCCTCATTGACCAAGATGGAGAGGCTTGCACCATCTTTTCTTAGGGACACTGTTTTCAACTGAGGGAGTCATCATCTACAGATACAGTACAATGAAACAGCCCTAAAGAACAGGTTTGAAGGAGTTAACAACTCTCCTTGTATGTATATACTGTATCAACCCTCCCTGTTTTCCCACCCTTTGAACATACTTGTGATAACAGTTGACCAATATATTATTCCAATACTTTAGACCACTGTCGCAAGTGAACTGCTTACATTTTAGTGAATACTAACATTGGACCTTTCCAGGTTTGACAAGTACATGGTTAAAAGCTTACTGACTTAGCTTTGGGACAGCGACTCAATTTAGGTGCATTCCTCAACTTGTTACTATTTCCAGGGGAATGCTTTCTACTGCCAACAACCACAAGTTAATTCTTGCTCAAAACATTTCTTTTTGTGGGAAACTGGTAAGTTTCCATGTTTAACTTCTCTCCCTAACTAATACTGTACAATGATTTAGAATATTTAGCACTTTGAAGTACGTAGTCTTTTGAGTGCATTGCTGAAGACCTATTCCAGCAAGAAGTAATATCATGCATTAATCACCATATCCCCCATGGCATCCCAAAACACCTTTGATCGTACTGGACCTACCATATTTGGGAAAGGGGAGAGACTGGATTCCAAACTGTTATTCTTTTATGTCTTGATGGGACATATGGTGCTACAATAGTATATCAGACATTTAAATATTTCAAAGACATCTTGGTTGAAGTGTAAATAATGAGGATTAAAATGCCTTATTTAAAAGTGTTCCAGCCTTCATATTTACATATTTGAAAGATTTGCAGTGGGAGTTGGATTGGTGGTTCTCCAGATGTTGGTGGAATGTAGCTCCAAACATCTGTCACCCTTAGCCATTCTGAATAAGGCAAATGGGACTTACAATCCTACATCTGGGGTACAGTCTATTTCCTGTCTCCAGTTAATGGCTTGTTTTTAGTTGGACCTATCAAAGTGGAATGTTGTTGTTTAGTAATTAACTTGTGTCTGATTCTTCGTGACCCCATGGACCACAGCATGCCAGGCCCTCCTGTCTTCCACTGCTTCCTGGAGTTTGGTCAAATTCCTGTTGGTAGCTTCGATGACACTGTCCAACCATCTCATCCTCTGCCGTCCCCTTCTCCTCTTGCCTTCACACTTTCCCAACATCAGGGGCTTTTCCAAGAAGATTTCTCGTGAGATGGCCAAAGGATTGGAGCCTCAGCTTCAGGATCTGTCCTTTCAGTGAGCACTCA